TATCTAAAGGTGTACAGTTTCGCAGGCCAAAGATAACACATCACCATGGATGGATTTCAAAAGTTCATTTTGAGTACTGCGCAGAACTAAACGAATGGAACAAGAAAGAGAGATGTCTTTTCTTGGCAGTAAGTCTAAGAGGCGCAGCACAACAAGTCCTAAGTAATTTAAGCTCAGAAAAGAAAGATAATTACAAAGAACTTGTTAGTGCACTCGAAAAGCGATTTGCACCACCAAATATTGAAGAGCTATACAAGTCAGAGCTCCGAATGAGACAGAGGAAACCAGGTGAATCACTGTTGGAGCTGGGTCAAGCAGTTAGACAACTAGTCACCTTGGCTTACCCAAAGGCGCCACAAGAGGTGTTAGAGACGTTAGCAAAAGACAGATTTTTAAACTTGCTGACAGAGTCTGAAGTCCGTTTGAAAATTCTGCGTGCACGGCCTGTGACCTTTTATCAAACATTACAGATTGCAGTGGAGCTTGATGCGTGTATGAGAGCAGAAGAAAAGAGAACCGGTAAATGGAATAAGATGGTAAGAGAAGTAGATACAGAAAACTGTAGTAAGCGGAATGATGACAAATGCACAAAACTCGAGAAACTCAAGTCGGAGCTCCAGGAATTGAAGCAGCTTATGCAACAGCAGCTGCAATGGAGGAGTCAAGTACAGCGAAGTAAGGGTGGCAAACGAACATCAAGAAATGACATCGTTCGTTTTACTTGCAATCAAAAGGGACATATAAGCCGCGAGTGTCCACAGAGAGAAAGACAGAAAAAGGCCTATAATGAGCAAGAGTCAACACAGAAGAAATCAGACCAGTCGTCAGTACCAACCTGCCAGATAAGGAGCGGTTGCTTGACATCAATAGACTCTGGACTCTATATCCCGACCAATGTAAATGGAGTAGACGCTAATTTCATAGTAGACTCTGGAGTTTCTGTTACAATAGTATCTTATGAAGCATATGATGCTATTCCTTCGACAAGTCAGCCAAAATTACAAGCAACACGCCATGTACTCACTTTAACAGATGGCAAGACATTAGAAACGAAAGGGTCGACAATTTTTGAATTTAGAATAGGAGAGAAGATTATAAAACATGAAGCAGTCTTAGCAGCAATTAGAGGATCTGGAGTTTTAGGACTAGACTTCATGATTGAGCATAAATGTATGCTGGACCTTAAATCAATGACCCTGAAGTTCGAATACGAAGTGATAAATGTTCATTTGGAGCAAAATATGCAATGTTGCAGAGTTTCGCTTAATGAAACTTCAGTTATACCAGCCAGAAGTGAGTGCATAGTTATGGGAAATGTGATAAATCGGGACAGCAAGAGACCATTACCATTATTTGGGATGGTGGAACCATGCCAGACTTTTAGCCAGAAGACAAAAACCATGATGGGCAGATCACTGGTATCTGCAGACACTGGCGGTGCTGTTCCATTAAGGCTCCTCAATATACATGATGATCCATTGGTTGTATATAAAGGGACAGTTGCAGGGGTATTTGAGCCAATAAGAACTACATTACCTTCAAACAATGAAGAGACAACGCAAAGTGCGCGTCTACCTGGCCACATTCAAAACTTGCTAGATGATGCAGAGAATCTTCACAAGATGAAACACATCCTTTAAGCCTGATTTAATGGTGGCTTATAGGTCCTTAATGGTGATTTAATGGTTGTCTTTAAGTCACCATTAAGTCACCATTAATCACCTTTAAGTAACATTTACACCACCATTAAGTTACCATTAAGCCATTTCAAAGTCCTTAATGGTGCTTAAATGTAGCTTAATGGTAGCTTAATGGTGGCTTAAAGGTCCTTAATGGTAGCTTTAAGACCACCATTAAGTAACCATTAAGCTACCATTAAGGCACACTTACAGGTGCTTAATGTCCAAACTCCATTAAGCTACCATTAAGCCACCATTACGCAGTTGATAATACTGTTTTTATGGGTGAAAAATTACTTTTATAGTGAAATTTTATCAAAAAATATATATATGTCGAGTTCACACATATCTTGATTTGGTAAAAATAAGTAAAAAGAATGAATTCAAAATTCAAAAAAAAAAAAAAAAAAAATCGCCACAAGCACGGCGCGAACTCATGACCTTCCGATTCTGGGGGCACCGCCTTAACCACGAGGCTACCGCCGCTCTTACTTCTCTTGTGAAATATTAAACCTTTATTTTTCACAAAATTTTTTTGGACTTGTAAAAGTTTTTATTTTTTGTTGAACGTTTCCAAAGTCTTGAATTGATTTATCAATCAAACTATAAACAGTTTTATTTCTGGATCTTTTTAAAAGGCTTATATCATATTAATATTTCTAAACCGTTGAGTTCGGCATTTAGCATGTTTAGATTGTAATGAATTCTTCACTCTGTTATCATCGTTATTCGAAGACTTATGAATACATGTGAGCAATAAATCATGATTGAAATGTAAATTAATTATAGACAAAACACAAAAAAACTATCATCGGGAAAGGAAGATGATTTTTTTTAAATATGCGGCAGATATTAACGCTTTTTGTGTCTAAAATTTAGTGACAATCCTCGCGTAAGAGTTACCTGGCTATGTTTACAAAAACATTTTTTAGAATATCATATTCAGTTTATATTCTTTTTGTATCATTATGGGTATCAAAATAATTGTCCTTTTACAATGAATCATAATTTTTCATTTGTGATATGCTTGCGTTAAATTTAAATTTTGTAAAAATAATTGATCATCAAAATCTGTCAGTGTACGTTGTGTATGTATAGTTTCCTGTTAGTTTTCACTGGTACACCCACTCTCTACCATCGGCTCATACATTCACCTCTGTCGTTTGCTCGCGTATATCACAGTGATAAACACGAGAAATAGTGCGTTTGTTTTAATTGATTATAATTCATTTTCTATGCTTATGTCTGAGTTTTGAGATAGATATTTATAAATAAATCCAGAACTATCCATTTAATTTGAAACAATCCTGCAAATATCACGTTTTATACGTTATGTCAAAAATTTTGACGTGAGCCCATTGCAGAGGTGTCTGAGAGAGGAACGAACGACAACTCTGCATAGGAGATTGTGGTACACCGGGGACGGGGGGACACCTAATTAAGGTCTATTGTCTAACAAGTCGGTATACTGTAGACTGTTAATCTGTTAATCTGGTGTCTTCCCACTTAGCCAACATTTTGAAAAAATACAGGTAAAACACAGGTAAGTCGGTGTTGGCTAAGTGGGAATGGGGTGCAGATGGAGAACAAAAGAAATAAATTACAGGTAGGCTATAGTCTGTTTTAGCTATATGCTGAATAAATAGTATATAATGCTTATTAGGATAATATAAAATATTTAATTGTTTTCTTCTCATAAATATTAAATTGTTCATATGAAAATATTAAATATTTTTTTTTAATTTTAAACTATGGTTTTTTGAAATATTTCATTATTTTAAAAACTATTTTAGATGTCTTCTTATTTCAAATATAAAATAAATAAGAAATTCTCTTTCTCTAAAGAATTATATTTAATTATACCTGGACATTGATGTAAACCTAAAATGATAAATGCTTACATTGATTTTTTTTCATCTGGAATTACAAATATGAAAACTAAGTTAATTTATTTTTAAGAGATACGAGGGTTGATCCAAAAGTTCGTGGAATTTCTTCATATTCTATTTATTTTTCAGTGGAATTCGTTGAAAATTACAAATGAAAATACAGACACTTGATGAATATTTTAAATCAAAAAACATTTTAAATATCTTTGATAGTAACTTTATGGCAGTTGCCAAAGAAACGGTTGTTTGGATATGCGGGGGAGACATTAACGCGTTTATTATCATTTGAATTCTTAATTAAGAAATTGAAATAAGAATCAAACTGCCCTATGTGGTATATAACACGAAAACTCTGTCATTATTACGATTGTTTGATCTTTTACAAACATTTGTGTTAGAGTTTTACTGATTTTACTGGATATTTAGTTTATAAGTTAATGGATTATTGTTCATCTTTAAGTTGTTAGATAACGTCAAATTTCGGTCAAGTAACACGTTTTGTAAAAATCCCGGGATCACTCTATCTTAAACGTGTATATTATTGACAAAGGCTTGGGAAAAAAGCATTTAGTTACTGTTTTCCAGAGGCATAAGAAGTTTAAGAAAAATAGAACTTCCATGGACGTTGATTAAAGATGTGGTCGCTTTTTAGAGGCTCTATTCAAAGTAGGTATTCCCCTAGACAAATTAAATGTGTTAATTGACGTTGTCGGCTGTCGTACTGTTCTTGGCATTGTTACTGAAATTGGAACATCATATGGAAAGATGGGTAGTTTTTTGAAAAATGAGTAAAAAATGGAGATAAGTTGGTGCAAGAGGATACTCTGGCTTTTTTTAGAGAAAAGAATGGAGAAAAGGGCAGCATTTTGTAGAATTACGTATTTTAATTGGACATTTGGGCGAGATGCTTCTATAACGTGACGTGACATATCTAACTTGACGTTACGTCGAAGTCTACCCCTGGTTTCCCAACTATACATTTTCAGAAAGCTCGTGTGATCTTATTGGTATTTGGAAAGTGGTGAAATTTTCCAATATTGTTGCAATATGACTCTATTTTATGAATATACCTGTTGATTGATTTCATCAAATCACGATAAAATTTTAGAAAGAAATTCCACGAACTTTTGGATCAACCCTCGTACATGCATATGTACTACTATACTTCAAATTCATCCTGGAAAAATAATTATGAAACTGATTTTAAATTAAATTTTTTAGAGATACATTTACCATGTTTATTACTATATTTCAAATATAACCTTCAAGAAAAACGCTTGTGTAAAGTTATAATATTTTATTATGAGTTTTTGTTTCCACATCTCACAGCAATTAATAAGACATAAATAAAACAAACAATGGATTCACAATCAATATTCACATAAATGAAATCTAGTTTCTACATTATTTCACCACAATCACTTGCATATTGTCACTCAAAATGAATGAGATGTGAGGCTGCGTCAGCATAGGCCACTATGTCCATTTTTCCTTGACGCAGTCTCTCCTTGAGACGCTGGAGACGTGAATCCAGCTGGCGGTATTTCCTCTTTTTGGGACGCACGACTCCTCCTGCTGTAATCTGGATGATCTTTGCCTCATTTGCCGCCTGTTCTTTTTGGAGCATCTCGATGAATACAAAGATGTTTGGATGGGCACGTCTGCACATTCTGTTGAACTTGTGATGCCATCCCTCAACTGTGTTGGTGGTTCTATGTCCGTCGTGATCAAAATGGTTTGAGATGTCAAGATGCCCTTCAACCCAGGACTTGGTCACGTAGTCCTTGAATCGTATCACAGCGGCGGTGTTGTCATCATGGTCCTCTAAGGCTTGGAACCACATGTCCTCAACACGGGGAGCTGGAACAAGAGGCAGGACGGCGGCCCTTCTCACGAGTCTATGGAAGTCTTCATTCTCTTTGAACTCTGTTGTCAGTCCACAGTTTTGCACTTTCCTCCAAATACACTGTGTGTAGTGGAAAAAGCATCCCCGGATGGTCGTGTTGGGAAAGTTCTCTTTCACTGCATTTCGGGCTGCCACTTCAAAGTCAATCATGTAGTGTTCAGGTGTAAGCACGAAGAGGCGTTCGTTGACTGCGGTTTTCAACAGGGAAAGAAGACGTCTGTAAGTTGCTTCAGTCTTGTTGGGAAGCAAGGCAAACACAAGAGGGAAAACTGTCCCATCAACTTCTGCATGCAGAGTGTATAGCTGAGTAATAGAGCTGTACAGGAGTAGAAAGTCCCATCACTAAACACAGTTGTAGCAGCACAAAGTCTCTGAAGATTGTCATCAGTGGCAAACACAATGATTCTGTTCCCTGCTTCATCTCGATCATCACACAAAAGGAATCTCTCACGAGCTAAGGTCTGTGTCCAAGGATCCTGGATATCGATTTCTTCTTGTGTGGTAGGCAGTTTGGGCATCATTTTCCCTCGACTCCGGTACAACACAGACTTGCAGGATTGAAAGGTGGGGATCTTTCTAATCATGTCTATCACAGTGTCATCACAGTCGGCATTCCGGAGTGCTCCTAACTCTTCGTCATATATGGATGGTATGGGTGCTGCTTCCTCTCTGCATCTCTTCTTCACTTTGTTGACAAAGGATTCTGCTGCCAAGCCAATGAAGTCCCCTTCATGATTGTGAGGCCGACCAAAAGACACAAGGATGTTGTTCACTGTCACAACTGTAGCTGGACACTGTCGGTCTACGCATCTCCAATATGTTCGGTCGTTGCGTGTTGTCCTCACGGAATACTTGAAGAAGATAGAATCCTCCTCTGCCGTTCTTGAGAAAGTTGACTTGCACCTGAAGATTAGCCATTTTCTTCTTCTTCCTTCTTTCTTTCTTTCTTTTTTTTTTTGATGGTGTTTTTTTTAATGGAAAGTCCAGAAAACAATTAAGATCTCAAAATTTGCAAGCTTTTGATTCTGTAAATTATTGATGATAATTATGCTGATCTAGTTTAGAAGATTCTTTAAAAACATTCAATTATAATCATTTATAAAATAATTATATACTTAACTTGTGTATCGGTAATGTTATGTACAAGCACTTTTACTAGTAAAAACACAACCATTTTTCATGATTATACATAATTATTTCTTCAAAATGACTTACTTGTTTTTCTTTATTTTCCAATAAAAATATGCTGTGTGGTCCAAAAAATATATTTGTTTCTATTTTTTCTTACTTAAATGATATTAATATTCTATTCATAAATTTAAATTAATTACTTTTTTTGAATTAATTAATTCTCTGGTTAAATTTTGCTACTTTTTTCATTATTAAATTATTGAACTTTAATTTTTTATCTTTAATTCTATATTTATTTTGAGTCAAATTTTAACTCTGGTTGGTATATTTTTACACTGTTTTTATTTTCCAAAGGAAATAATTCTCAGGTAATTAATATGCATACCAGAAAACAGACTGTAGCCTGTTAATCACTCAGGTGTAAAAATCAAAATGTTGGCTATGTGGGAATAGGATTTTTCAAAATGTTGGCTAAGTGGGAATAAACGTTAATCTTACCCCGTTTCCCAATGTGTATAAATCTGGTCGGATGTCATGTTAAATCTGTTCTTTTGAAAATCGATTTTGAAAAAGCAATCATCGAAAACCGACTAGATTTTGAAAGATACTTAACGCTGCAATATATAAAAAATAACGAATTATTCAAATTATTCATGATGTTAAAGTCAATCTTTGAAAACTATATAACGAATTAATTCAAATTATTCATGATGTTAAAGTCAATCTTTGAAAACTAAACATTTTATACCGGTATCCCCCCAAAAAAAAATTAAAAAAAGAGAGAGATTTTTTTCATGATAACATGACTTTATATTCCTGTGAATTCTGTAGCGGAATGTTGCCTATAACACATGAAATATTTTTTTTAAATAATATATATTTTTTGTTCATGGATAAAGATAATTTAAACATTAATTGATTTTCGGTAGTGAAAAATTAAGATATTTCACAGCGGCTTGCTCCCGGTGTGTAATATTATTATAATTATTTATTTTTTAAAACAAAAATTATATACACTAATAATAAAAACAAGGCATGTAATAATTATCAATTTAAAAAAAATCATATACATGTACGGTAATGATAAAACATGTCTTTTTTTTTATTGTTACTGTAAATGATTTTTTTAAAATAATGATTAGACAGCGGGAGCAAGCCCCTGTGGCTATTAGCTAACTTGTTATCAGTGCCCGAGTTTATGCATAATGGCAAAAATGTTATATAGAAATGACGATCGAGACAAAATTATGAGTAGAAATATATTTTGTGCAAATGAAATGATATTGGAATAACTTTAAAAGTTATTTCAAAGATTCGATATAAATAAGATGCGTAAAGTTTAATGAGGTTTGACCATTAAGTCACCAGGTGGCTAAATGGTAGCTTAATGGAGTTTGGACATTAAGCACCTGTAAGTTGCAGCTTAATGGTGGCTTAAAGGAATTAACTTCTTTAAGCCACCATTAAGTCACCATTAAGATATTATTAAGCGATTGCTTAAAGGTGGACTTTCGTCTTGTGCTTTCGCCAAGCCAAAGAAAGCAAGCTGAATCTTTCCTGTAAAGGCATGCTAAGCTTTTTGCTGAAAAGGGCGCTGATAAAGGGCACACAACCTTGATCAAACACAAAATCAATACGGAAATTGAAAAGCCGATTCGTCAACAGCCAAGACGCGTCCCATTCCATCTAAAGAGAGAAATTGACGACCAAATCTATAACATGCTTACAAACAATATTATCAGACCGTCTTCAAGCCCTTGGGCTAGTCCAGTCGTACTTGTACGAAAGAAGGATGGATCTCTAAGGTTCTGTATTGACTTTAGGAGACTGAACAATGTAACGGTGAAGGATGCGTACCCTTTACCTAGGATCGATGAATCTTTGGATGCTCTTGGGGGATCGAACTGGTTCTCTACACTAGATATGATGAGTGGGTATTGGCAGATAGAAGTCGACGAGCATGACAAGCAGAAGACCGCCTTCACATCACAAAGGGGACTTTTCGAGTTTAACGTAATGCCCTTTGGCTTATGTAATGCGGCAGGAACATTTGAACGACTCATGCAGACTCTCTGCGCTGGCCTGAGATGGGATATCTGCTTAATTTATCTGGGCGATATAATCGTGTTCAGTTCTACATTTGATCAACATTTAGAGAGACTTGACACAGTATTTAAAAGACTCCATGCAGCAGGACTTAGACTGAGAAGTAAAAAAAAGCAGTTTGTTCAAACACAGAGTATCTTACTTGGGCCATATCATAACAGAACAAGGTGTTGAAACTGACCCAGGAAAGGTAAGGAGCATAAAAACTTGGCCAACACCAACTAACGTAGGGAATCTACGCAGTTTCCTCGGCTTATGCTCTTACTACAGGAGATTTGTGAAGGGATTTGCCACTGTTGCTAGTCCATTACATAATCTGACACACAAAGATAAGAAGTTCTTATGGACTAAAGAGTGTGATACGGCTTTCCAAGATCTCAAGAGAGCACTTACCACAGCACCTATTCTTGCACTGCCAGACTTTTCTGAAACATTTATTCTAGACACGGATGCGTCTGGTGTGGGCATTGGCGCCGTTTTAAGTCAATCTAAGGACGGAATTGAACGATTCATCTCTTATGGAAGCAGGTCCTTAACCAAATCGGAGAAAAAGTACAGCATCACACGGAAAGAACTGTTGGCAGTAGTACATTTTATCAAGGCATACAGACCATATCTATATGGCAGACATTTTGTGTTACGCACGGATCACAGCGCCTTGAAATGGATGATGAGCTTCAAAGAACCAGAAGGACAGTTGGCCAGATGGCTGGATACGTTATCGGAGTATGACTTTGAGATATGTCATCGAGCCGGTAGGCTACATGGAAATGCTGACGCACTCTCGAGGATTGATCATGAGGCTATGTCAGAGAAGAAATACAATACGAAGCCAGTTGCAGCAATTACCATGGAAACGTCAGAGCATGATATAAAGCGACAGCAAGCAGATGATCCAGAAATAGCAGAAGTGAGGCAGTGGGTTGAGAATAACAAAAAGCCAGACTGGAACAAAATATTGACATGTAGCGTGAGCTTGAAAGCATATTGGGCTCAATTCGACCAGTTGTCAATTAGAGACGGAATTCTGTATAGAGATTGGTACACTAATAACGGGAAAGTTCAAAAAGAACAAGCTGTAGTGCCATATTCCCTCAGACCAACGATTATGAAGTATTGCCATGATGCACCATCAGGTTGGCATTTAGGAAGACAAAAGACACTCACAAAAATTAAACAAAAGTTTTACTGGCCAGGAATGGACAGAGATGTCAGAAAATGGTGTGCATCCTGCTACAAATGTGCTAAGAGAAAGAAATATGGTAAAACGCCACGTGCACCCATGCAAGTAACGGGAGTCGGTGAGCCTGGAGAAAGAGTCGCCATGGATATTTTGGGGCCTGTGCCTACATCAAACAGAGGAAATACGTACATTTTAGTGATTCAAGATTACTTCACCAAATGGGCAGAAGCCGTCCCATTGCAGGATATGGAGGCACAGACTGTATCTCGAGCATTCATAGACAATTTTGTCACCAAATTTGGTGTACCAAGAACGCTACATACCGACCAAGGACGTCAATTCGAGTCGAGATTATTCCAGCAACTGTGTGAAATACTTGAAATCAACAAGACAAGAACGACCCCTTACCAAGAACCTACAACTCAAAATTTCAGGAAACAAGATGCCACTGAAACACCACACGTTTCAGACGTTATTATTGACCTTATTAGTGCTCCGTACATTGAGTTCAACGCTGAGAACGTCGACGGTAACGACGCTGCAATTTCGGAAGATCAAAAGGTACACAGCGAAACGACCACCCGATCTAAAAGGCGATGCCGAAAGCCCAGACACTTTGAAGATTTTCAACTGTACCACGTGAGGGAATCAGACAAGACATCAAAGGGAGGACAGTCCACTCCTTCTCATTTGCAGTCTTGCAGTCGAATGGCGAGGACGAAGAATACCGTAAGGAAAGTAAACGCCATGCATAAATGTCCACTTTGTATCGA